CGCTTGTTTAACACCCATGCTTTCTATACTATCATCTATAGTTTCACGGGTGATTTAAACACAATGTACTCTTGGAATAAAATGAACATTTTTTTTCTGAACGGTAACTTCAACCTTCACTTTTTAGATTTTGAAAAATACACTTCAATGGTGAGTTGTCAAATTGCTCGTTTGAATTTGAAATAGATCTTTAAAACACAAAATTATATTTATAAAATGTTATTTTCAGTCTTAATAACCAATAGTTTAAATGTTATTAAACATCCAATTATCTAGTGTCATCTTTATTTTAATATGAATCTGACCTATGCGTCACTTTTTTGATACTCACTCGTAGATAGATCTATCAAATGTACAAATTTGTCAGAACAGACTCTCAGAAATATACACACTCTACATGATTTATATGTTATTTGACAGCTGATTTGAACGTATTTATTGTTTAACTGGACAATAGTGATTGGAGATCATACTCCATAGGGGTGTAAAGTTTTAGAGCGCAAACATTTCTTGTACATATACTAGGTTTTGTCCAGGCCTTTCACTGTACGGTTTGATATCTTGTACGCAACACATCATCTAGTAGTGGTAAATGACGCCATGTTTCATTACCCAACGGCAACTGGCGACATTTTTTATTTTTTTTGTACATATGAACGTGAACAGGGGTAGCGAAGTTGTACTAAGTTTTTGGCCATGAATTTCAATGTACAGTTTTTATTCTTTTGTATGGGACATACCTTCTAGAAGTAGGAATAAGTGCAGATTTTTATTACTGAATTCCAAGTTTTAAAGTTACAGAGCTCAAAAGAAATTATGAAGGACGGACGTAAACGCTGTCAGATTACTATAATTATTTTACTAATTCCTGTACAAGCAGTGTTTTACTCTTTTACGACGACGAAAAAATAAGTTAGAAAAAAATCTTGAATAAGTTTAAAAAACGGAATTGTCCTGAACATGAACTGTGTAACACATCACCTGCGCTAGCAGAATTTATATGAGTTTTTAAGAAATATGTTTTAAAACATTCTACCATTTTGCTGAAAATTATACAAAAATGAAAGAAAAAAAGCAAAACCTAACATACATTTTTTGTTTTATCTTCATATACATGCATTTTATCTGAATTCGATACAAAAATATTTGTAACAGGTGTCAATCTGAATCAATAATATCAACCTACAGATATTTACTAAGAATAATACATATTTTTTATGAAACAGGATTGTTTTATATATACGTGTCATTGTTGATGTATAAAATAGTTCACTACAGTTCAAAAATTATGGGTGTAGTTTTTTCCGCTTTTTATATATTGGCCTCGTATTCAATTGACGAAAATAGACGTAATGAGTTAGCAAGTCGAAATATTTTGAATTGCTTCGTTCTGTCCTCGTCTTGTTTATAAGATTTTATATTGGAAATATTTTTTTCATTCATTTCAAAAGCGTTCAACAGATTTTTATTTTATTGCAAAAAAGTGAGACTAGTAAAGAATCATGTCGACACAAAGAATCTTATCAAAATTATAGAGCTTAAAGGTTTTCTGAAGGACGGATGGATACGCATTTATGTTTGTAATTCATTTACTATATAATGCTCAGGTAGAGCTAAAGATGAAGACGTGCAAGATATAATGGTGGACATCTTATTATCATATAAAGAATGCTCGATTAAATCTTACATATATATCATAATAATTTGCTTAACCATATTTACATGCATACATATAGTAAATACTACTTATTTTCGCAGATTGGTAAATTACACAATGGTAATTTTATAATTGACACATTCATGTTGACTTGTTTTGTAAATTTGTACTTTTACTCGTAGCATAATTTTTTGTAAGATAAGATAAATCAAATTGATTGTCCCCCTTTGGCTACATATTGGTTATCAAAAATTATATCATAACTTTACACAACAAAATAAGTTAGTAATTGATCACAAACATATAATTTATCTTAGTCAAATGAAATAAACTAATAGGCATGTTTAATATGTAATGAGTGATTTTTTCAAAGCATAAGTTTATTACCACACATGTCACTACAAAGAGAACTAACCCATCATGGAAATCCGAAGCCTTTGGGTGGAAGTCACAGATTGCCTCTGGTTGGTAATATAAAATCTGACATACGTGTCACGGATATTTCGTTTGTAAAATGAGTATACTGAAACTCATATTTTCGGTATGGAGTTTATTTCAAAGTGACAAAAAAAGTCTGGAAGGCACAGTGGTGGTATTATTATATACATCAAAGAGAATATTTAAAAAAAAACAATAATCAATTCATCTAAAACATTTTTGTTTCAGAATTGATTGTGACTGGCGCTAGACAAGTCATTCTATGGGTTACATTTATGTTCAGAATTGATTTTGACTGGTTCTAGACGAGTCATTCTATGGATTACATTTATGTTCAGAATTGATTGTGATTGGTTCTAGACGAGTCATTCTATGGGTTACATTTATGTTCAGAATTGATTGTGACTGGCGCTAGACAAGTCATTCTATGGGTTATATTTATGTTCAGAATTGACTGTGACTGGTGCTACACAAGTCATTCTATGGGTTACATTTATGTTCAGAATTGAGTGTGACTGGTTCTAGACAAGTCATTCTATGGGTTAATTTTTTGTTCATAATTAATTGTGACTGGTGCTAGACGATTCATTATATGGGTTACATTTATGTTCAGAATTAACTGTGACTGGTTCTAGACGAGTCATTCTATGGGTTACATTTATGTTCAGAATTGATTGTGACTGGTGCTAGACGAGTCATCCTATGGGTTACATTTAAGTTCAGAATTGATTGTGACTGGTGCTAGACAAGTCATTCTATGGGTTACATTTATGTTCAGAATTGATTTTGACTGGTGCTAGACGAGTCATCCTATGGGTTACATTTAAGTTCAGAATTGATTGTGACTGGTGCTAGACGATTCATTATATGGGTTACATTTAAGTTCAGAATTGATTGTGACTGGTTCTAGACAAGTCATTCTATGGATTATATTTATGTTCAGAATTGATTGTGATTGGTTCTAGACGAATCATTCTATGGGTTACATTTTTGTTTCAGAATTGATTGTGACTGGTACTAGACGAGTCATTATATGGGTTACATTTTTGTTTCAGAATTGATTGTGACTGGTGCTAGACGAGTCATCCTATGGGTTACATTTAAGTTCAGAATGGATTGTGACTGGTGCTAGACAAGTCATTCTATGGGTTACATTTATGTTCAGAATTGATTGTGATTGGTTCTAGAAGAGTCATTCTATGGGTTACATTTTTGTTTCAGAATTGATTGTGACTGGTTCTAGACGAGTATGGGTTACATTTATGTTCAGAATACATTGCCCCTTATAATTCTACTCGCTCAGATGACGATTACCTGACATAATTTATTTCCAGGTAACGGCAAATTGTGTCCATAGTTGACTTTTGGAGTAAGCACTCGTACGTAAGCCATCACAAATCAAATGTTATTCGTAAATCGCATGATATTGTAGCCCTTATACTATAGCAATGACTTATTTCTAGAAAGAAGTAGTCAGGACATACTTTTAAATTGTCGTGAAATATCGCTTCTTGAACTTGTTTATGTGTGTTTCCTTAAGACTACGGATACTAGTAGAACACTTTTAGTTCTTACATGTACAAGCCACAAATAGGCATCCGATCTACAAAGAAGGACTAACATATTGTAATGTGAAAAGGTAACAGGACTTTGAACCAAGCGCTACGAATAAATTAAGCATCTTAGTGACCTATAGTAGCTGAAATCCGCTTACTATAGACTCGGTCGGATAATTATCTCATTGGCAATCATACCACATCTTTGTACGACAGATCTCTGATTTTTAGAAATATTGTTTGTTCGATTTTGTACACTTAACATCCAGGAGGAAAGCGGGGAATTTATATAAAAATAAGATGTGGTATGATTGCAAATGAGACAAATATCCACCAGAGTTCAAAAGAAGTGGATATAGATAATACGCAATTAAAGGTCACCAAACAGCCTTCACCATACCGTATAGTCGGCTATAAAAGGTCCCGACATGAAAAATATGAAACAATTTAATAATAACACAATGTATGAAAAACAAATATTACAGACATGAACTAACGACAATCACTGAACTACAGGCTCCTGAATTGGCACAGGCACATAAATGAATGCGGCGGAGTTAAACATGTTTGAGAGCGCCCAACCCTCCTCCCAACCTTGGATATAGGTGTAATAGAACAACATAAGAACAACTGTAACAATCAGTTGCAATTGACTACACTCAGAAGATCGGTTCGAAGAAAACAAATAACAAACAACCAACTAACATAAAACAATTGACACAAAGCACCGATATAAGAGTATCAATACGCCACCCAAAGAACAACCAAAATGTTTTTGCTACAGGTTCCAACTTAAACGTACAAAGATCGTTCCATTCACCTACACCAGACATCGATTTTAACGTCCCCATTCCGAAAGGGACGTAGCTGCGTGCATATTCATGATTTTGGTTCGTTTAAAGAGCTTTTCTGGATTTTCCTTCATCGGATTTACTCAAACCTAAACATTTGAAAGTCTTCAATACTTGAGATTTATGACCAAAACGGACTAAAAAATAGCTAAATCCACCAAGGGACAATTTAAAAAAATAACGTTATAAATCGTATCAGTACCGAAGCACTGATTACTGAGCTGATGATAGCCCTGAGGACTAACCGTCTAGCAGCAACGTGTCGACCCAGTGCTGGGAAGAGACCGTATATTATGTCACTTCTCCGGACACTTATGATATGACGTTGGTCGTTTTTCCGGATGCCTATGATATGACTTTTTAAAATCATATTCTTTTGATAATAGGCGAATATAAATACTAGATACAGTCTATAATTGGTCAAGAAAATTCCAAACTCATGGATGTTAACGAAATGAAAATTTTGCCAAACCAAACGTCTGAAAGTAAGAAAAACTATTTCAAATACAGACAAGTTTTACTAAAACCACGTTTGTTGATGTCTATGGATTTACAAAGTTTTGTCTGTTATTATTTAATGCCCATGTTGTTGAGCTCTCTTGACATCTGACAGATGGCACATGGTTCACAAAATCCCATCACAAGACAGTCATTACATATTGAACCCTGAAAATATCAGAAAATTGTTAGAAATTATCTTTATTGAGAATTTTGTTACATTTTGAATACTTTAATAACATTAACGGTGCCAAGTTCACTGCAATATATGTGCATTTCGATAATTAAAGTCTCCTCAGAGAGGACAAAATAATTGAATATTTAAAACCTAAAATTTCTTGAATGCTTCATACTTTGAGTTTATTTATATGGGTTCTTATCCACATTGCATATACATATATATGATATGCTTTACCAATATTTGAATTGATTATTAAATATTTCTTTTATTAGCAGTGACGTAGCTTGACCCTTATTTCTAGTGTGACGATTTGAGGCTTCAGTGCGGTTCAAAGTCTGCGGGTTGGGAGTGGAAAAGTAGTAGTTGTAAACCGGCATCACAAAGAGATTTTTCAATATCTAAGTCGAATTGTATAATGTTTGATTGAGTGTTGTATGCATAACGTCCAGTGACAAATATTTCATAAAATTGAGAATGGAAATGGGGAATGTGTCAAAGAGACAACAACCCGACCAAAGAGCAGAAAACAGTAGAAGGCCACCAATGGGTCTTCAACACAGCGAGAAAATCCCGCACCCAGAGGCGGGCTTTATGCATATTCAGGAACAAAATGGCATTAATAACAATCCAATAGATAGGTTTTACAGACGAGAATGAGATCACGAATTTCGACTTCAAAAGGAGAGCATGTTTAACGGGCATAGATGTTAATTTGTAACATGCTCCCTATGGACTCCTGACATGGTTGATTCAATGGTTTTTACATGTAGAGCGTTGAATATGACGTACACATTCCGACTGGACATGGCTATGTATTTATACATCCCGCACAGTCAAATGGACGCCCTATTATGCATGGGTTTTACTGCAGGATGGAAGAATCAGTTGATGAAGGGTTTTACTGCAGGATGGAAGAAGTCAGTTGATGAAGGGTTTTACTGCAGGATGGAAGAAGTTGGTTGATAAAGGGTTTTACTGCAGGATGGAAGACGTTGGTTGATGAAGGGTTTTACTGTAGGATGAAAGAAGTCAGTTGATGAAGGGTTTTACTGCAGGATGGAAGAAGTCAGTTGATGAAGGGTTTAACTGCAGGATGGAAAAATTTGGATGATAAAGGGTTTTACTACAGGATGGAAGAAATCAGTTGATGAAGGGATTTACTGCAGGATGGAAAAAGTCAGTTGATGAAGGGGTTTACTGCAGAATGGAAAAAGTTGGTTGATGAAGGGTTTTACTACAGGATGGAAGAAGTTGGTTGATGAAGGGTTTTACTGCAGGTTGGAAGAAGTCAGTTGATGAAGGGTTTTACTGCAGAATGGAAGAAGTCAGTTGATGAAGGGTTTTACTGCAGGATAGAAGAAGTTGGTTGATAAAGGATTTTACTGCAGGATGGAAGAAATCAGTTGATGAAGGGTTTTACTGCAGGATGGAAGAAGTCGGTTGATGAACATATTTCTTTTTTCCCCAGTCAATCAGTAGGATTATTCAGAGAACAAATCAACAGTACATTACTAAAAAAAGGTTCTGCAAAATGGGTCAACCGTAATGAAGGGCGAATACTGAATTAGACTGCCACGTGGAAAAGGGGGGTATGTTGGAAAGTGTCAGGTTACGTACCGGTGCTTCTCGCAACGACAAATCGTACGCACGTACAGTCTTGATATCTTCATAAATTCAGATTTTTTCTTAATATCATTTGTTCGTTTCTTCAAACAAAATACTAGTATCTAACCGTAATTTTTTTATGAGACTAAGTTGAACTAATTGGTGTTCAAGTTAATAACGAGTGAACTCACGTGTAAGGGGTAAAAAGTGTTTAGAATCCTCTTCACTATATACTAAAGAATTATACCTTTTTTATTGATAAAAAGGTAGTGAGGATTTACCTAGTTACCTCAATGGAAGCTTCGGTCCTTCTGTACGAAGTAAGTGTCATCGTTGCTAAATTTTTATTTCTTTGCATAAATTCGTAGATGAAATAATGAATTATTACATTCATTATAAATATATAGTAAATGTATTGTATTCTCATTTGTCTTCGCTTCAATACGATTCTCTTTTCCATGTTATGACTTTGAGACTTTTTACCAGAGTATAAGCATGATCAAATTACCGGTAGCAGAATCTGTTCATGATTATAGCTTCTTAGAAACCTTTAGATTTTGTTAAAGTAAATGAAATCTTGACCATCTTCGTTCACTTTTTTATTCTTTCACAGACTTTTATTTTAGTATATGTCTTTTGGATGATTGTTTTGTACGTTTTTTAATTGGCCTTGGCCTTGAGCGTTTCTCCGTCACAAGTTTATAACATGACGAACAGCATTTGACTTATATCGACAAAATCAACCACGGAAGCAATCTAAAGTAGGTAGATACTTTTTCATATTGCGCAATGCAAATTATGTGACATGTATTATTTCCGATACGCATTTACTATCATATCTGATATACAGCAATTACAGAGGAATTACAAAACAGACAATAAGAACACTGTTATCTGTAATGAATATGTTATGTCATATTTGTTTTTTGTTGATTGTAGAATTTGGCGTTTCTGTTTATATTCTGATTGATTTATTCACATCTTCTTTTAGACTTAGCAGGATGAAAAGTTTGCAAGTACTTTTTGATCGGTACTTGTTGCCTTTTGTTATTCATTTTTGTTGCAAGTACCAATATGATGAGTCAAGTCTTTTCACCCCGCCACATTCTTTATGTGCCTGTTCAAACCCATGAATCTGTAATTCGGTGGTTGTCGTTGGTTGCTGTCTGCTATATTTGTTTCCCGTCGAGTGTTGTATAATAATCAGACTTGGTTTTCTCTTCTAAATTATTTCACATTTTGTCATATTTACCTGTGCCTTTCAAAACTTATTATAGTATGGGATTTCCTTACTGTTGAATGACAGTATGGTGACGTGTTTTTTTCACATCTTTGATCTTTGGTCTTGATGGAAAGTTGTCTGATTGGCAATAATACCACATGATCTTATTTTTACACTGGTATATTGTAAAGACACTAGTCCATTGTAATGTAATGTAATGCCCTCTAGATGTCTTTTAGATACTTGTGTTGTTGCCGTATTCCTCACATCCCCTTTTATCGAAAAGAACATATGACAAAATGGAGAGGGCCTTATACATTTTTTTAAACGAAATCCTACCTGGATACCTCCAAGCGTCCTGAGCCTTGTTCTCATGGCAATAGTTGAACCAGGAACAACATATGGCATACAGGCACAATCGCCAAGTTTAACAGCAATATTGCATACGATACATGGGAGACATAAGTAGGAAATCACACCTTCAAAAAAGTTTAAAGAGGAATAAAGAAATTGTCAAGAACCAAATGAAACAGACTCTCGGATTCAAAACATTTTGATGATCACAGTAAAACTAATGGATATAAGTTTAATAAATAAAAAAAAAAACTGTAATAATATAAAAACTTTAAGAGTTAAAAATTTAGATAACATTCAGACGCTACATCAGGTACAAGACAGGGCACCGAAAAACGTTACAATGAGATGATATACAAACTCAGAATATTTTCGTGATACTTATTTGAAAATCAGATATATACAAATTTACGATAAATCATATGCTTTACAACATGGCAGCCACCGTCAACAGCGTGAATGCGCAAGTACAACTGCTGCATTACAAAACGTTTACGATTTTGGATTCACTAGTATATTGATTTTATATTGATTAATCTTTAAATCTTATTGATGTTCTAAGTGTAATGAGGACTTTGTCTTCTATAAATTTACTAAAGGAGATACTAACATGTCTTGCAGTCAGTAAAGCAGTCAAACAGCCCAGTAGTCCATTTACGATGACCTTGAACGGGAGAAACTAACAGAGTTCCCTCAATTGGTTGTGGTTGAGCTGTAACTGGTTCTGTCATCTGCTAATTAGAAATTGGATCCGTAGCGATACGCATTTTAAATAACCCTTTGAGACACATGTCTTTTTTATTTATTGTGTTGTTAGGTTGCTGTCTCATTGAGCAATACCATGATAGTGAAAAGGTGTATTAACAAATCACAGTATATTTTTGATTGTGCGATGAACAAACGAATTAAAGTCGAGTTTTTTTGTTGCTAGGTGGACCATCAAATAACAATTATCTGTGTTTTCTGCATATTGAAAGTAATCTTATATATTACTACCCAATCAAATCATTGGCCAGGTAACATCAAGATGAGTTAAAACATGTTTGACCTGTATGAACGAGTAAAAATTCACCTTACAGACATGCAAACCTTACTTTAAATCACAAATTATAAAAACTCAAATATATCGGCTGTAAACGCATGCAACTCAATATAAGTTAGACTCAATTAAAAAAATTAATTTGTGTGCAATATATTAATTTTGCAATTATTGTCATTTGCCTTCTGAATTGATTGTTTTTGAAAAATGCTACTGGATTGATTTAAAATTATCAATAAAGAAATAGTAATGAGATACTACCTTTTTGTCAGTTTCCTTGGTATCCGATATATCCTCTGTTATACTTGTATCATTTCACAAAACTATCAGTATTTATTATGTTGTTAAACGGATGAGGTGTAAAAGGGATAATTTTGTTTTTCAAGAATATTAAAATTCGTAAAATTTTACCCTGCCTAATAAACGTATTTACACTTTTGGTATTTAGCTATATTTTGCCTCCGAATGACCTTAGATCTACTCCGAATCACCTTTTGGCGTCAGGCAACAATCACTTTTTAATTGTGACGTCAAATGTTTTGAATTATGATGTCAAAGTTTACGGGAACCTGTGTGATTTTACGTAATGGCGGACAAATTTGCATACTAGTGTAAATACGTCTATAACATCGTGAGTAACTTTTAAAAAAAGTAAACTGATTATAGTGCATATAAAGGGTAAATAGGGAATATAAATACAAACCTTAACAAAAATTCCAAGGATTTAACTTGGGTGGAGACGTCACCTACGCTTGTGCTTACGTAACATACGTTTGTGCTTACGTCACCTAAATGTGTGCTTATATCAATATTTTTCACGAAAAAATGCACCTACCAACGTCGAAAATTATCGGTTACTAATATTCTGCTATTAAATGCAGTATTTCGGATTTTAATGAAATTTTGTATGCAGTAAAGAATTCGTTGATCTGCATACAAAATAAAGAAACTGAGATGTCATGTGGTTTAACTTTTAAATGGACATATATACTCTTTTGGGGTTTTAGCAGAATTTGCTCCGAATGATCCTAGATCTAGCTCTGAATAACATTCTGACATAATTCAACAACCAATAACTTATAAATACATGTTTATACACCTTATCGATATTTGGAAATCTCCTCCGGTTGACCCGAGTATCTGCGACGCTTGAATTATTGACGTCATACAACAATCACTTTTCCATTGTGGCGTCAGATATTTTCTATTATGACGTCAAAATTTTACGGGAACCTTTGTGATGTCCAATAATGGCGGACAAATAGCGATAAGGTGTATTGTAAGACTACATGATATTAAACAGCAACCTGTTATAAGCCCCAGTGTGTTATATATAGATAAAGTGAATGAACCTTAAGTACGTGAAGCTGTTATTGTCAATCAAGATAAGATAGGCGGAGTCTCTATAAATGTAAACAGATTGATAAGATGATATAGCAATATCATTACAACTATTTGATTTTGACGTCAAATATTTCAATTGTGATGCAAAATTTTGCGGGAACTTGTGTGCTTTTAAGTACAAGAATTTAATATATAATATATCAACGATAGAACATGCATAATCAACACACTAGTGATGAAGCATTTACAGAAGTTGGAGAATTATTGTTGAGTTTGAACACAACCGGTTCACCAGGACCAGATAATAAACACTATGCAAAATAGGGATATCATTTGTCTGTATAAACGCCGGTACGTCCGGTTGGAACGGAAACGTCAATTTCGAAACCTCATAAAGGAAGACCGCAGAGTGAAAAACCAACTCTGGCCTATTGCAAGACAAAATTTCAGCCCTTATCCAATACACTCTCTTTTCCAGTGGTGTCAGTCCAAAGTTTCATGTCGGGGCTTTTTATAGCCGATCATACGGTATGGACTTTTCTCATTGTTGTTAGGCCGTACGGTGGCCTATTATTGCTTACATCTTCTTCGTTTGAACTCGTGTCAATGGTTGTCTCATTCGCAATCATACCACATCTCCTTATTTTTATATTGTGATGAAACCAAAATGATTATTTGTTTATATCGTGGCTCCATGGCTTATTCGTCAGAAGTAAAATACCAAGTCTCGAAAATTCAGCCATCAATCATATTTACTGAGTTAAATACGTCAAAATGCTAGAATAGCGCATGAATGGGAAGTAAAATGGCTTACAATTTTGTCCAATAGTTTTGATATGTCTCCTTTCTACATTCCAAGAAGAAAGCTGAGATAAAATCAGACTTCATATTCTTAGTTCCAATTCTAATGAATACACGCCACCAAGAATTCGCCTGACAAGATGTTTTTTTTCCCACCTCAAGCATGAATTGAATATCATAACAAACACAGAAAAAAGTTATGTTGCCCTAGTTGCCGATTTTAACTCAAAAATCTTTACCCGATTTTATTATACCTGATGAGTTAGTTGTTATTATGTTTGATTTAGATTGTGATGCTGATATATTAGAGTATTTATATGATTTTCAGAATCTGACTCAAAACAAAATCTCCTTGCAAAGAGTGTGTCAGTGTACATGTAGACCGCATAAGTATGGTCATAGACTGCTAGGGTTGTGCAGAAAAAAATAATTTGTATATTGCTAATTCAAGAGTTGGATCAGATAAAGATATTGGGGAGAAAACATGTAACGATTCAAGTATTGTTGATTATTTAATTATTTCATCAATGCTCTTCCCTATGATTTTTTATTTTGAAATTGCTGACTTTATCCCGATATATTCTGATTGTCATTCATTTATATATTTCAGACTTCATGCCACATTTAGTTACTCAGATTCTATTGTTACCGACAATAGCAGTGATAAAATTTTCGTCAGGTGGAAAAGTGAACAGAAATCTGAATACGTTAATCGAATTCACAATGACCCCGAAGGTATTCTGGCCACTGTTATGAATAAGTCTAGGTTAGTCTATGGAAAGGTATATACTATGAAATTTAGAGCGAGGGGCTTGCCCCGAGCTCTTAATTTCATAGTATATACCTTTTCATAGACTATCCAATTTAGCACATATTTACAACTCGAGTAATCTTTTAATTTGTCTATTGATAGTTTATTTTGGCTGACTACTTGTATCACAGGTGTTTGTAAAACAGAACTCATTAACGAAGTTTTGTAAATCTACTCACTAGTATCATTGTAAAATATGTGATTTCAAAAGGCCCTTGACTCCAGAATGAAAAGATGATAGCTGCTGGTGTAAGTATGTTTATTGATATAAAGCGGTGTTTTACTATATATGTTCTTCTTACATGGTAAGATGACCAAATAAATTGACCAAAAGCAGGCAATGATTAAATTGCAGTGGAAGCTTTACATGTTTTGAAAACATTTTTTAATTTCACAGTAAAACTAAAGCTATAATAAATTTGAAACATATTTATAGTTTTTCCTCATAGATATAGTCTAGCAGATAGGCATTAAAAAGATCAGAGATTATAGGTTTTGTGTGTTTTTTTTATTATTTCAAAGTAAAAACTAAAAGATTTATCAGAATATGTTTATATATATACATAGGTGGCACATTCTCTTCAGACATATTTAATCACAGTTTTTCAATTCATGACATCGTCCTGAACATGCATGAAATATTTGCCACTGAACATTAAGCAACTAATAATCAATAAATCAATCAATTCATGACGAAATAGATCACCTCCCTTAAGAAAGTTTGAAAAATTATCACCAAGTTGCTTTAATTTCCCTTCACAAGGTTTCATAGTACATACCCTTTATTTAAATGAAAGAAATTTGCAATTGTCAAACACATTTTTTATATCCAAAGATTTTACTAGAAGGGTATTTAAAAATCAACGTGAAAAAAAAACTAATTACAAACTATTTAATTTAATTTAGAACACAGCATTTTATTTCAAAATAGCCAGTGGGAATTTATGTTGTTTTTAATATCATGATTACGATACAATGAAATCTTACCCTTGTGGTCATTCATGCGTAGTTACTTAGTACACGGGAAAAGAATGTACTATGAAAATTAGAAGGCAAATATAAGCAATTTGATTGGACGAGAAGTTGAAAGTATGTGCTAAACTGGACTTAGAATATAGCAAAGTACTCTCGACCAATGAAATTGTAGGTTTGGATGCCTCTTAATTGTGAAGAATGAATGTAAATCATGTTCTTAGTAAGGGATTATCCTATTATTTGGGTCTATTTACAGTTCAAAACAAAGAGTTTCTATAAATGAGTTATAACTGCCCCGAAGCACATTTATCAGATTGAAAGGATTTATCACACAGTGGTTGAAACTGACTAAAAGTTGAGTTGTGAAACAAACAAAATTCTCAAAATAAGTTGAAGTTTACTGGTGCAGTCAAATCGGTACCGTGAATGTTATTACGAAAATATTAATAACTTCAAATTACTATAAAATTAAACAATACCAAAGCAATGTAAAAAATAAAAATAAAAAAATCTTTCAGATAAAAAATAAACTAAATCTTTAGCTTTCCAAAACTTTGATTACTTGATCAGCGGTTGGGGAGAATAGTTATTTCCAATACATGTATTCCGATAAAAAAAAAACAGGAATTTAATTTTGAACATATTAAAAACTTTTAAGGGCGTTATTTTTGAACATTTCCCTGACATAATGAAACAGTATTTGATGTAAAAAGCCGGACCAAATCATTGGCTGTGAAATAAAAATTAGTTGTAACTCAAATGTATTAATTGATTTAAACTGTAAATAAAAAAAGGATAATTCCTCACTAAAATATTACATGATTTACATTCATACTCACAATCAGGAAACATACAATTCCTACCTTTTCTTTCTACTGTTGTGTCACCTAATATCTATAACGCATTTAAAAAACAAAAATTCCCAAATGATAAGAAAGTCCTCACATCACTAAAACTAATCCATAAATGACATGCCGGAAAAGGAAGTCATGCATCAATTATAAACATTGCACTGACAATGAAACTAATTCTTGAATAGATTATTTGAGCCTTGAGCACTTTACAATATTCTAAGTTTGTAAGAGAATGATAATCCCTTACTTCATGATAAGTAAGGGATTATCATTCTCTTACATATACGAATTGTCCGTAAATAATGATGCAACTCAAAATGATATAAACAATATAGTTTTAGATATCAACAAGAGTTTTAAAAACGCAGCGGCAGAAACGTTTGGGAAGATAAAAAAACATAACATGAAGATTCAAAACCTTGGTTTAATAGAAAATGCTCGATGAGTAGAAAAAAATTTCATAAAGCTCAAAAGAGATATAGTTTTTTGAACAATGCTTAAACAAGACGCAAAATGAGACAAGCTAGTAAAGAACATAAAGTAACATTAAATAAGGCTTTTGCAAACTATCAACAGAGGGCTGCTGATGAGTTGCGTAACATTTCCAAAAAGGATACAAAAGCTCTATGAAAAATCCTTAATAATCTAAATAGTAGTAACAA